TGAGCTACAGTTCTCACAGTCTTGCTGCCCAAGTGGCTAAGTGATGTGAAATCCACTTTGAAAAAGAATCTCACGTCAACTCCCAGCAACCCCCAGGGTGTGGCACCCAGGAGCCGTCTTGAACCAGGACACCACAGTCTGAGTTTGGCTGCTCTAGAGGTCAGAAACCCTTGCATATTGCCATCTCCGGGACCCCACAGGCACCCCACTGTGCTGGCTTGAGAGAGGCTACTTTGGGAACCCAACTTGTCCCCGCAGAGAGATAATGACCTAAGCCCACTGGGTGCCCTGCTGGTTGGGGACACAGAGGAGAATGGAAAGATCTGCCCTGGAGAACCAAGAGATCAGGGTCTTGCCTTCTGAGGCCAAGGCTGTGGCCAGCTGCAGGTGGACTTGAACCAGTGCTAGGACTGAAGGCAGGCGCCACACAGTTCCCGCCGCCCTCCCCTCTGCCTGGCTGCCTGTTACCAACAGGAGGAGGAGCAAGCACCATGACTTTCATTTCAGTTCATGCTCCAGCGGCCTCGAGCACCTCTGTGATCCCGCCAGCCCCCTGCCTCCAGGGATGCATGACCAAAGGTGCCGCACCCCTTGAAAAACTTTGCTCAGCTCTGGTTGGGCTCATTCTTGCCAGTGGGCACTGTCACCAAAGTGGCAGAGAAGAGCACCATGGCTCCTGCCACCCCTCCGACATGGCTCCTACTGCTGCCCTGCCCCCACACCTGGTCAATCACACACTGCTGTCAAGACTGGTTGTGACGGTGCTGTGGTTACTGTCACTGCATTTCCTGGTGTAGCACCTGCGCCTGTCCCCCTGCCTGGCTAGAGGACTAGGGCTTCAGGTGTCTCACCACTGCTGGGGCTGCCAGTGCCAGAGGCCCTTGCTAGGAGCAGAACGAGCATCAGTGCTGCCCAGGAACCCCCACTGCCTGAGAGGGTCCAGTACTCCTATTACCAGAGCTACACAGTGAGCTCCTCTTACAATAGCAGCTCCCCACACCGTTTCTGTCTGCATCACAGCTGCCTGAACAGCTAGAGTGTCCCCACTCTTGTGTGG